CGGTGGCGGTGGCGGTGGCGGCGGCGGCGGCGGCGGCTGCGCCCCGGGCGGGGAAAAGGGCCGCAGGCTCTCGGCTCCCGCCGGCCGCGGGGAGGCGCTCTTGCGCCGGGCCGCGTTGATGATGTTTCGCGCCAGGAGGGCCTGCAGCTGGCGGCTGGGAGGCCGCGCCTCTGTCTCAGGTCGCAGCGGGGACACCGAGCGCTCGCTCCACGAGGGAGACATGGGCGGCGGCGGCGGGAGCGGCGGGGGGCTGCTCATGCTGCTCCCGCGGCCCGGCTCCCATGGCCCCGGGCTCACCCAGCCGTCCAGGCTGCTGGGGGGCCGGGAGGCGCCCGGCGTCCAGGGCGGGGAGGTGGGCAGGCTCTCCCGGCGGTCCTGGGGAGAGAGCAGAGAGGGCGGGGGCAGGCGTTAGTGCTGGGGTCCTCTAGACCGGGGTTTCGGGAGGCACCGAGTCTGGGTTGTGCACTGCACAGAGTCGGGAAGCCAGGCCCCCAAGTCAGGGGAATAGGGCCTGCAGTAAAACGCAGGGGTCCCGGCTCTCAGCCCATGCTGCCTGTCCCTGCGCTCAACGGGGAGGCAGGTGAGCGGTGGTGAAGAACGCTCGCTCTGGAGACAGACCCCTTTACTTACTACTGAATGAACTTGGGCAAGTTATTTCAGCCGCGGAAGCAACTGGAAGCCTCCGGGCTTTGGTTTCCTCCTCTGTAAAATGGGGGTATAATACCAGCACTAGACTTAGGGGGTTGTTGTGAGGGTTACATGAGATAACTCGTGTAAAAGAATGTTTCATGTATTGGAAGATGCCCTGGAGGAGAGGAAGGGCTCAGGAGGTGTTAGTTACCGGAAAGAAATACTGGAAGGATACACCGGAAACTCACCAAAGTGGGTCTCTGTTAGGAAATGGGGCCACTGGGGTGGGGTACACAGCCACGGGGGTGGGAGTAAAGCTCTAGCGTATTACTTTCTATGTAAGATTAGGTTTCTGAAACATATGGTTGTATTATCTATCTTAAAATGTTAAGACAAAAATACTGATCATTATTATTAAGGGCTTAGGGAAAGACCCTCTTAGTCCCAACCCCCTTGCCAGGTTGCCATGGTCACCTCCGAAGTTTTCCCTGGATGCCCCGAGCAGGGAGGAAGTTCCCAGTGACAGATGGGGACACCAAAGGGAGTTGGCTCATTCTGCCGTAGACGGCACACTCCCCCGACTGGACTTCTTGTCAGCATGGGGCAGGGAGTGTGGATTTGGTGGGGCCGAGTTGGTGAACATCTCTGAGGTGATAAAGCACGGCTCTGCTATATACTACTGTACCTGTTTCCCACCTATTTAAGGACCTTCTAGCCTACAAGTTTCAGTCTCATCCTGTATCCCTCCTTGGATCCTCACAACATACTGATGAGGTGGCTGGCATTATCACACCCATTGTACAAGGATGAAGATGAAATTCAGAGGTGTAAAAAACTGCCTGCTGTGTTCTGTCCCACCAGGAAATGTGTGGGGGTGACCACCTCCCATCCAAAGGCTACACCATGCTTAAGCGGTCGGAAGCACTGGTTTGGACTGGTTTTGGAATCCATGCCCAGCTTGTATCTGCTAAATCATCCAACTCTTCGATCAGATTGCAGCAGTAAATCAGTCCACTCAGCCTTCACTCCAACCCAGATTCACCAGCAGTCATTCCTGAGAGTCCAGACTTAGCCAGTCCATTCAGTGTCTTCTACTCAATCAAAATCCAGACTCATTCAAAAGATCCAGTCTTTCACCCAATCAGTAACCAGCCACAGCCAAGCCAGTCAGCCTCTCATCCAATCAGAATCCGATTTCTCCCAATCAAAAGGAAGTAATAAACTATGCTTTCTCCATCCAATGCAGCAGCTACTAGATGGGCTGACTCAGAAGGGGTTCCCTTAAACCTAAAGAAAAATGTACAGCCGTCCCAATAGGAGATTTTTCATGGGATAGTAATGCTGGAGGGGCCCTTAGGGACCTCCTGGGGACATCCAAGACCCCAATCATCAACTTGGAAAGTTAAAGCTCAGCGTGGGATCCACCCCTTTCACTCCCAGGGTCAGAGTTGGGTATATGTGAGCCAGAGACCCTGGGAGCTGTTCTGGCCGTGACATATCCCAGGAAGCTTTTAGTCAGCCCAGCTGTGGGAAGTGGGTCCAGGAGTTCATGATCCCAGCCCATCAACAAGCATCCAGGGCTCTGCAGCCAGGAGAAAGGTGGGCTAGGGCAGGTAGACTTATCATACCTGTCTGAAATCTCTAAGGGTTATGTCTGCCTTTGGTGGCCACAAGGGGAAGGCTTGGGCCAGCAAGTGGCCCCAGCCTGACTTCCCAAGCCTGGGTTGGAATGTGGGGCAGTGGTAAGCAGCTCCTCACCATTTGGAAGAAGGCCAGAGCCTGACCTCATCGGAACTGCCATGTCTGGGTACTGACTCTCTGTGCGGGGGGCGGAGGGGGGAGGTGGGGTGCACAATACAAAAAAGCTGTGAGAAATCAGGACTGTTCACTTTCTGACAAAGCTCTCAATGCATTACATAAGCCAGAACTCCCTGGAAATGCACATGGGTGAAGATTCAGAAAGAAGCACCCACTTAACCCAGCCCCAGCCCCAGCCCCATCGCAGGGCATGTGTGTGGGGCTTAAACAGAGTCATCAGACAGGAACCATCAGAGACCAAGCAGAGCTAGCTCCCCGATTGCCTTCTGCAATCCTTTCATTGGACGCAAGGCAGACTAAGGCCCAGCCAGAGGTGGGAGGGGTCGTCTAAGGTCACACAAGGAGTCAGGTATAGATCTGGGACTACAACCCACTTCTGACTCTTGATGGCAGTTTGCTCCTCTCCACCAGGGGCAGAAACTCTGTTTCAGGAGCTAGGAGGTGACAAATATGGGACATTGCCAGATTAGATAACAGGGAGAGGAGGAGGGGGACTGAGGGAACCAGAAAGTATATGCTCTGGCTCAAGGCATTTAAATCCCACTTTTAGGGGCTCCTGGGTGGCTCAGTTGGTTAAGTGTCCGACTTCACCTCAGGTCATGATCTTGCAGTTCATGAATTCGAGCCCCACATCGGGCCCTGTGCTGACAGCTCAGAGCCTGGAGCCTGCTTTGGATTCTGTCTCCCTTGCTCTCTGCCCCTCCCCCGCTCAGGCTGTCTCTCTCTCTCTCTCTCTCTCTCAAAAATCAATAAACATTAAAAAAAATTTTTTTTTAATTCCACTTTTAAAGAACTCAAACAAACATGGACTGTAAGGGGCTGTGGGTCTTCCCTATGCTCCACAGCCTTTCTGGCCAAACTCTGAAGGAAGGAGAAAACAGAAGAATGTGATTTCCACAGGACTATGGTTCCCTAAGTGCTGACCCAGGGACGAGAGAGAGGCAGCCCTTGCCTCCAAGCCGGCACACATCTATACACACGGCAGATCCAGACACGCAGCGGATTCAAACAGTACTCAGAGACACGCCACACGGTAACTGGGTCGTCCCACCCCACCTCCCAAGCCAGAATCGGGAAGGAGAGAGTCCTGACCACCAGCCAGGGAGTGCGGAAGAAAGAAGGAAGCAAGACAGATTTGAGGCCGAGTGTATTGAGAACAGGAGAGAAAACAAAGTTGGGGGAAGAGCTCGGCCAGCCTGGCCGCAGGAGCTGCAGGATGGAGGGTGGCCTCTTCCACTGCTGGCCCTGGGGGGGGGGGGGGGGGGGTAGAAGGGAGCAGGGGTCCAGGGTAGGGGCTTCGCTCTGTCCTGGGAGGGGCCCGGCACGAAGCAGCTGAGCTCACTTACGACTCCCCCACGCATGCCCCCAAAGTTCTGGGCAGAATGAACTCACTAGGAAGGCACCCCCTGTTCCCATGGAGATGAGCCCAGAGCTCACGAAAACTGCAGGCTCAGCCCAGCATGGGCACCGCCTCCACCACCCCTCACCCCGCTGGGGAGCCCAGAAATAGGGCTGGGGAAGAGAAAGTGGGTGGTGCTCGGCCCCCAGCCTTGGGAAGCTTCCACCCAAATTCTGCCTCTTGCGTCTGTATTCTCTCCCTGCCCACAAAGCCTGGTTTGGGGGCTGCATCACATCAAAGGTGTCAGAGGTGGTGAGCATCTCACACTACCTGACTCAGCACCCTCATGATACGGGGAAACTGAGACCCAAAGATACACATGGAATTAATCTGGTAGAATCCAGATCTCTTAAGTGCCGGCCCTGTCCTCAAAGCCTTAAGGTCTCCTCCTCTGTCCCACTGAGCCGCTAGGCCCCTGCCCAAGCCCCTGCCATGCTTCTACTGTCTCTAGGCCACCCTGAGCCTGTGCCGTCCCGTCCCAGCCGAGGCTTCTGATCCCCTGGCTTCCTGAAGCAGCTCGTTCCAGCCACGCCCTCCCCAGGACACCCTTACAGACCTCTCATCTCCAACGGTTCTATGGCAACAGCCCATTCCCTCCCCTTCTCTTTCCAGGGGACTGTCTTATCACTTACAAGGCCTTTCTCTCGAAGCACCAGCCTATATCCTCAACCCTCGAAGACTGTCACAGCTGGAAGGGTCCTGACTATATAAATAAGAAAACTGAGGCCCAGAAAGGGAAAGTGACTTGGCCAGACTCACATAGTGAAGGGGAGGCTGAGATGGGACCAGACCCTCCTCTCCAGCCTCTCTCCCTGGGGCCCCTTCCACTGCGCGGAGATAGCTGCTTTTAGCTGGGCAGCTCTCGGCTGAGGTTGAAGCCAAACTAGCCAATGGATACATTGCCCGGGCGGGGAGCGGGGTGGGGTGGGGGGCTCTCTCACTGCACACTCACATCTGCACATCCTCCTACAGGGTTCCCCTTCTCTCAGGGATCCCCCGGGACTTCGCACGCCCTAGCACACTGAGGGCCAGCCAGATGGGGTCTGGGATGAACTGCTCTAGCTATCCCCAAAGTGGAGCCAGGTGTTTGGAGAGGGCACGGAGGCGGGTTGAGCAGAGGGGCAGGAAGAAAAGCATCAGACAGCAGTGGCAGGCTAAGTCCTCGTCCAGCAGAAGAACCCACGAGAGGAGAAAACGTGGCAGCCGAGGCAAAGCTCTCTGAAGCGGCGGAGAGGAATCGGTGTCCAGAAGGCAGAGATGGAAGAGAGACCTGTGCAGGTAAGAAGCCAGCGACAGGCAGAAAGACGCCGGGAGCTGGGGCAGCTGAGGAGGCAGACCCTTGACTGGCTGGTTGCACAGAGGCACTGGCAGGTTGTTTGCTCCAGAAGCCCGTGTTAGGGTCCCCTTCTAGGCCATTCCCCAGCAAGACGCTGGCATCCCTAAGGCTCACAAAGGCCAGAGGAAGCCCCCCAGCCTCATTTCGGCCTGCCAAGGGAGTTCTCTCTCCGTGACCCTCCCTGCTATCCGGTATCGGACTGCAGATCCTTCAGACTTGGAGTCTCATGACCCTTGTGGCAGGGAAGGAGCAGCTGCAGCCCAGAGAGGGCTTGCCCAAAGTCACAAAGCTAGCTGGTGGCAGCATCAGCCTTTGAGCCCTGGGTCCCCATACTCCTGACCCTCAGCTCTGTGCCACTTCCAGCCACATCTGCTCTCCATCCAGCCCTCGGAGAGAGGACCCTGCCAGGCAGTGGGATCCCTGCAGGGTCCGTTACTTGAAGCAGAAGGAAGGCTTCCACACCTGAGCCTCGATCCCAGCATTCCGGGTAGAGAAGGAGGGCCTGGGGGCCTGCTTGGCTCGGGGAGACCACGCCCTGGAGGGCGACACAGGGGAGATATCACTGCTGTAGGTAGGGCTCACGGCCGTGGGCTGGAGGCCATCCTGGCCGGGGGAGGTGTAGAGGCCCGGTGAGGAGCGGGAGGGCCGAGGCAGGGCCGGGGATGCCGGGAGAGCGGCCTTGGGCAGGCTGGGCACCAGGTCCAGGGAGCTCGGCTTGGCGGGCGAGGCGGCTCTCGGAGAGACCTTGACGGGCTCCTTGATGGGTGAGAGGACGAAGAGAGACTGCCGCATCTGGTAGGCCGGCTGCTTGGTGGGCTCGGGGCGCAGGACCCCGTTCTCGGGCAGGTAGCCGTGGTAGAGGGAGGCAGGCGGGGTGCGAGCTGGGCTCCGGGATGCCACCCGGAAGCCACCAGGAGCATTGGTGGAATATTTCCAGGACGAAGGCAGGGACATGGTGGGTGAAGGGCAGCGGGCCAGTTCGGTGTGGCCGGAGGACTCGATGACATACTTCTCCATCCGGGACTGGCGGCGGGCATAGAGCTCGGCCCCTTTCCCAGAGGCCTCGGACAGGTTCTGGTTGGGTTTGGGCTTCGGCTTGGCCTGGACGCGTGGGGACTTGAGGCACGAGGCCCACTCCGGGAGGACTTCCTCGGCTGCCCCGGGGCTGACCCTGTCCCGGGGTGCGGGCTCCTGCTGGAAGTTGGAGGCCTCGGCCCCCAGGGCAAAGGGCTCCTCCTCCACGCCCGCCTCCCCCTGGTCCCTCTGCCTCCGCTTCTCATCGGCCGTCTGTACCAGATCCAGCAGGTCTGGGTTCGGGGTCACCTTGGGCTTCTCTACGAAGGTGAACATGGATTTCCGGCTGCCCCTGCGGGCCATGGACTCCTCCAAAATGCCTGTCTTGCTGGCCGGAGCTGCCTGGCCTTTCAGGTGAGAAGGCTTGGGGTCAGAGCTGGGGTAGAGGGCAGAGTAGGATGGGGGAGACCTGCCCCGGGAAGCCAGGGGAGCCGTGGACAAGGTTTCAGCGTAGGTGGGGGGTGGGGTGAAGTTCCCCAAGGGGCGTCTCTCCAAGGCAGGGCTGCGCTGTGCCACGGGCCTCCTCTCCACCATGGGGCTGTGGGACATCACATGTCTCTGTGGCCGAGGGCTCCTGTCTACCACGCTTGGGGGCTGGGGAGCCCGGGCTTTCTCCCCGAGATGTCGTCTCTCTACCATGGGGCTCCGTTCCACCTGGCCGGTGCTCCCTGGAGCCTGGATCCCGAAGGGCCTGGCGGTCCTGTTGACCACTGATGGGGGCTTGGCCAGTGTGAAGTGGACCTCACTGTATAGCTTGGTGGGCGTGGGCGTGGCTGCCCACCCAGACGGCTCAGGTTCCGCTGACACCGCTGGGACACCCGGCTGCACATCGATGAGCAGGCAGCTGGACGCGAAATCTGGGGCTGGGATCCCAGAGCTGGAGACGGGAGTAGTTTCTCTGGAGAAGGTGTTGGTGCTGGTAGGTGGAGCTGACACCTTATCGATGAGGAGGGTGCTGGATTTGACCTCTGCAGCCGGCTCGGGGGGCTGCCCGCTGGCACACGGGGTGCTGGGTTTGGAATCTGACACCGTGCCATTGGGAGGGGGCTGGCTTTCTGAGGGCTGCTGGCTCTGCGGGGCGACAGTGGCCGGGGGGTTCTGGTTGACGTCTGCGTGGTCTGCGTCTGGCAGGCTGTGGTTGCTGTTAGAGGCTGGCGTGATAAGGGTGGCGCTGAGTGAGGAAACGTTTTGGTTGACGTCTACAGCTGGGCTGTGGGCCTCAGCCGCGGGCGGGCTTGGCGGGGTCTGCTGGGTGTCTCGGTTCTGGGACAGGTGCAGTCCATTGGCTGTCAGCAGGGCCGCGTTCTCCTTCAAGTAAACCACCAGCGGCACCTCCTCCTCCTCGCTGGCCACCTTCTCCAGGTGCCGCAGCAAGCTGGCTTTCTCTGAGCACCCCTCCATGCTGTGAGCGGGGACCCCTGCGTCAGGGCTCTGGCGGTCGCTGTTCCTTGGAGGGCCTGGCTCAGGGGGTGAGGTGGGACTCAGGCCGGGCCCCGAGGCGTAGCCCGCAGGGCCGGCAGGGGGCACTCTGAGGGACTCCTGGCTGGGCTTCCGTTCCCGTTCCCGTTCCCTCGGGCCGGGGTTCTCCAAGGTGAACTGGTTCACCCTCTGCCGACGCCTGTTGAAGAGCTGGACGCCTCGGGAGTTGGAGCTGGGCGGGGTGGTCAGCTGTGCCGCGATCTGCTGGCTCCGGGCCTTGGCCTCTTTCAGATCTTTCTCAGTGAGGCTGGTGCTGTGGGCCAACGCTGTTGAGAGGGACAGAGGTCCAGTTAGCAAATGGGAATGCAGAACCACGGGAGCAGAGACAGACAGACAGATGGCCACCATGCCCCTCCTACAGATGCTCTTTTCCTCTGGGATTTGCTCTTTACTCACTAGTCCCTGGAATCCCCTCTCCTCAGAAAGATCCCTGACCCAACAACCATCATGGCCCAACTCAAAGGCCACCTACCTGTGGGAAAACTTCCCCTGACTACCCTTTCAGGGTGAACCGGCCCCTTATTTGGCTTCTCCCTGAAGGTTATTGATACTGTACCTTATTAAATTCTGCAAGAACACCTCACCCTAGCAGGAGAGGCCACACTACATCCCTGACCCATTCTCTACCACCCTCTCCGCTCACTGGGCTCGGCCCTGCTGGCATTCTTTCAATTCCTTGGAAATGCCAAGGTTGTTCTTGCCCCGGGACCTTTGCACTTGCTCTTTTCTCTGCTTGGAATGATCTTATCCCAGATGGAATACCATGTCGGTTCCTTCTTGCCATGCAGGACTCACCTGAATGTTCCCTCTCTGGAGGGGTTTTCCTCTCTAATCAACTCTCCCCTCCCCTATCCTATCCCTTTGTCTTATTTCCTTCATGGCATTCACCATCATTTGCGATTATCTTCTTTACACATTTCCTGGTTTATCATCAGTCTCCCCACCTAGAACATCGGCTCTCAGGGGACTATGTATGACCTTGCTTGACCTGGTCATCATTCTATCCCTGGCCCCTACAATAGTGCCTGGCATAAAGCGGGCACTCGGTAGGTATTACTGAATGCATGAATGAACCCCCAGGACATTTTCTATGTGCCTGTCTTAGGGGCCTTTACACTTTCACGGCATAGTCATTTGCTAACACTAACACTTCCTCTTTTTAGAATAGGTAATACACTCACATGGGCTGAAAACTGAGAAAAACAAAAAAGCATGCGGTAAAAAAATGTCCCTCCACCCCCGAGCATCCATACCACAAATCAGGTAACCACGGTTACTAGTTTCTTCTTATAGAGTTTCTTCCCATTTTTATTCCCATAATCATTTTATTTATTTTTTTTTATTTTTATTTTTATTTTTTTTAATTTTTTTTTTCCAACGTTTATTTATTTTTGGGACAGAGAGAGACAGAGCATGAATGGGGGAGGGGCAGAGAGAGAGGGAGACACAGAATCGGAAACAGGCTCCAGGCTCTGAGCCATCAGCCCAGAGCCTGACGCGGGGCTCGAACTCACGGACCGCGAGATCGTGACCTGGCTGAAGTCGGACGCTTAACCGACTGCGCCACCCAGGCGCCCCTCCCATAATCATTTTAAAGTTCTCATATTTTAATATCATAAAAGTAATACATTGGGCTAATTTCAGCAGCAACCATACTGGAATGTTGCATTAGTCTATTCTGTCCTCGTAAGAACACTAGGAGACCAACATTACTTGCCCCTGTTTTACGGAAGTGAAAAATGAGGTCCAGAGGCTGTGTATGCAACTCACGCACAGTCACACAGCAGAGTGGCCAAGCGAAAGTCAGCACCGGTTCCCTCTGGGCTCACAACCCATGCTCAAGATGCCTGCTCGTCCCCAAAGTTCCCTTTGGCACCTTGTAGGGTGCCACTACAGGAGACAGAGTCAGTGGGGGGCAGGTTCAGTCTAGGATTGGAGTCTGGGGCCCGAGGTCGGTGATCAGGCTGGGGTCAAACCCTGTTAATCTGTAAATTCACTGTAGGCAACCATTTCTCTTCTAATCCCCAGAGCCCAGGTGGCACACTGTTGGTGCTCAATTTATGCTTATTGAACAAAGAATGAACAGATGGACCAATGGGAAGATGGATGAGATCGCCTGTGGCCAAGGTTACCAGCTCAGTCAGTGGCTGGGAAAATTCCTCCCTCCGTCATCCTCCCCCAGCCCTCCCTACTGTGGGAAGCTAATTAGTTCTTGAGGAATCTGACCCTGCCCTCCCTCCTACCATGCCCTCATTAGCACTGGCCATGACATGCTGAATGGGTCTCCAGGGACAGTCTTTCTAGGCATCCTGCCAGCGAGGCTCAGAATTCACGGACTCCCAGAGCCGCAGGGGCCCTTCCGGAGGAGCTATTTGACCACCACCCCCATTGTAGAGGTGAGGAAACTGAGGTCCAGAGAGTGACGGCACAGAGTAGAGCTCACGCTAGGGTCAACAAAGACGTCCCCGTGGAGCAGCATAGCCGAAGAGGTTCTCTGGCCCCAACCTCCTCCTTCCCACCTCCCATCAGGATCTGGCTCCCACCCACACACACACCCGTGCCCACCGTTCCAGAACAACCTGCCCCATGTGTCCCTGACGCTTGCCCCCTTCTGGTAGGGCTCCTCTCCTGCCTGGATCACCCCATCCATGAAAGATGAGGGATTTGCAGGTTGGGCCAGGCCGCTGCCGTGGGTGCGGGGGGTCGTAGGCAGGGGCGAGTCAGCCACGCAGCAGGGCCTTGAGGGGTTTCGTGGCTCACGCAATGTTCGTCTCCTCTGCCCTGCTTAGCAACCAGGACTCCTGGCCCAAGTCCGGGCTCTGCCATTTGTTACTTGTGAGACCTTGGCAAGTTACCACACCTCTCGGAGCCGGCTTCCTTGACTGAGAAGAAGTGATAAGAGCACTGACGTTAGGGCCGGGAGGCTGCGGTGAGGTCACGAACGCCAGCACTGCTCGCTGCCATCAGGCCCAGTGGACAGGGCAAGAGGGCTCATGCTCCCTGGGAGAAACTGCTCGTTGGTGACCCTTCTCTACTCCCTGGAGGGGTCAGAGCTTTTTCTAGCAAAGGAGACTCACTCCACAGATCGGGATCCTGAGAGGGAATGTGACTCTCTCAAGGTCACACAGCAGGGCATTCCAGAGTTATGGAAAGGGAGGGATTATTGTCCCAAATCACGGGACCTTGGAATCTCAAAGATGGCGGTCACTAGGCCCAACTGCCCACATAATTCCTGTGTCGCCAAAACCATGCCCCTGAGTTACAAGTCTCTGTTTACATACTCAACCGGCAAGGAGCTCACTACCCTAAAGAGGTGCCTTCTACTCATTAGTGCTCCTTACATTAGCTCCCGATCTCTGGACACAGTTCTGTCCCCTACTGCCACAGATTTTTCTTTCTAACCTGACTGTCCTGCGGAGTCACAGATACAAATCATATCCCCCTGGGGTATGGTCAGGATAAACACCTGTGTAGCCCCAACAATGTTTCTTCCGCCACAATTGCTGATGTTGATTCTACATATTATTTGATTTCCACAACAACGCTATGGAAGCGCGAACTATTATTATCCGCCTTTTAGTGATGAGAAAACCAGGGCTCAGAGAGGGAAAGTGAGTTGCCCAAGGTCACAAAGCCAGAAAGTAGTGGAGCTGGTTCACCCCCCGCTCTGCAAGACTCCAGACAGCACCAGGCTTTCTGGCTAACGGTTCCCACAGTGTGAGGCTCACGGAAAGTGCTTCATTGTTTGAATAATCCAGACCTCCCAATGTCCCTGCACTTTCCTGTTTTTCTTTTTACTTCTCTGCTTCCATCCTATCCCCAGACTGGTTCTAAAGGCCATGGGTTTAGAAAATGCTCAAACGTGAGAGCACGAAGGGCCCTTGGGGATAAGCTGGCCTGGGAGGCTTCTCGAGAGGCTTCGAGAAGAGTGGGCCTCAGGCCAGGACCTGGTCTGCTGACCCCCGGGCTGGGCTTGGAACCTCCCCCGCCCCGCGCTGCTGTTCTGGGACAAGAGGAGGGCAGCAGAAAAGGCCAAGGGGTGAGAGAGTCCAGCCTCCAAGGAAGCTCCCGTACCCCCACCCCCAGCCCGCAGTGACTCCACGGAAAAGGAATCCGGCAGGAGGCTTGGGCAAGACCCTGCCAGCAATCCAGATGATTTCTGCCACCCTGCGCAAACCACGCTGAGGGAAGGGGGCTGGGCCAACCCCAGAGTCCCCCACTTGCAGGGCGCCAGGGAAGGCAGGTCCATGCAACATTCCCCAGACGCAGGAATTGTTGCCCCCGGCCAAGCCCCGGCCAGCCAGGTGCAAGACGGTGCTCCCTGGTGCTAGGGAAGCAGGAGGTAGCCAAGGGCCAGAGGGGGCAGGTATCTCGCTGAGCCCCCCATCCGCCTGGCTGCAGCCTGTTCCTGTGCCAGCCATACACCCCCTCTTCTCAGGTTGGGGTGCTGGACCTTGAAAGACCTACCCTGGACATTGGATCGGGAGCTCTGAAGACAGGCCTTCAGGAGAGGAAGGAGTGAGGGTAGATACAAGGAAGAGCTGCCCGGGGTCAGGAGAACTGGCTCCAACAGGGGTAACTCCCTAAGTGGGTTGGGGGACAAGAAGCCCCAAGTACAGCCGTCAGAATAAGGGCTACAGTGGCTGCTGCGATCAGGCAGCCCTCACTATAGCCCGGGGAGTCGTGCCGCACACTTTACACACATTACCCTATTCAGTTCTCCCCCCAAACTCCGAGAGGTAAGCACTAACATGCTCCCCAATTTGCTGATGAAACTGGAGCTCAGAGAGACCTGTCGAAGGCCATACAACTTGCAAGTAGCAGGGCTCGGATCTTTCCAGCCAAACTCAAAGTCTGGTTGCAGAGTCTCATTTCTTAACCGTTCCGCCTTTCAGCCCCAGACTTTGGGTCCAGTGCTCTTGGATAATGGTCTGCAGAACTGCCTGTTTCCTCATCTCATGATCGATGTCCCCAGCAGTGCCCTCTCCCCTCTCAGCTGCCTAGAACAACCCATGCATCCTCTCCCTTCTGCCTGTCAGGAGAAGAGCTGAGAAAACTCATTCTTACTAAGGTTGAAATGACTGCTAGGAGATGAAAGTCCAGGGGAGTGGAAACAGCATGGTATTGGGAGTCAGGAGACCTAAGTTCCAGTTGTGCTCAGGCAGGGATAAGCCCTTTCTCCCACCCCTGTTACTTCTATAGGTAGTTGCCTGGTCTGCTGCCCACCAGGCCTGTCTGGACCTAGGATCTGAAGGAAGGAGGTGGG